TTGCCCGCATTCATAAAGCATACATTGTTTATGCTCTGCCATATTGACAAGCAAATATTGCATACATAACTCCCTAGGGACAATTTGATTGACATTTCAGATTACAGTGCTCTTTGTTTATAAATTCTCTGCATTTATGTCATAATATTGCATGATTTTTAACTTTTTTAGCATGTGAAAGCCATGGGAATTTGAAAACCTGTGCGCAAGCATTTAATTAAAAATTTATTTTATTTAAAATTATCTCAAAATTTCAGCAGGAATAACAGTTAAGTTGGCTGCGCCGGCTAGCTGAGCGTCGTTGTTAAGTTGTCTGCACTTGTTTAGAGAACAAGCTGTTAAGGATGCTGTGTCTGGAAACTATTACGCATTATCATTATTTTTGCTTTATTTTCAAAGCAGCTTAGTTTGTATGCATTGCAGAAATAGAAATTTTTACTCTCATATTTTATATACGAAAAAAGAAACTTGTATGCTGAGGCTTAGACTGCTTAGACTACATGCAGGTAATCCATATCTACATGCTGCTTCTCAGCAGGGCTGCTGTTTTTGCTTAAATTAAACTGCAGCACGTAGCGTAACATAAATCTAAAAAAAAAAAAAATTTTGTATAACATATATTTATTTTCACATTCTTCATTGCCTCAGCTCTTAACATAATTCTAGAAAAGTCTAAAATAAAATATATCTGGCCAGAATTAAATTTCGAGAACTTGGTAAGAGTCGTACTGAAAGATATTTCAGGATATAAAATATAAAATAAATTTATTAATAATTTAATTGAATGGAAACAAATAAGAACTCTCGACTTTGGCTAAAAGTTTCTTAAGAGTTTTCTGAATAATATGAAAAATGGATTCAATGATCAAGTAACTGACTTCTTTGAAAACTAGTTCAATTTTGCACTGAGCCAGTTTACTTTAAAAACTTGCAATCCTCAATAAATTTACAGTCTTTGTCTGAAAGTCTAGCTCATCGAGCCTTGTGCTGCATATAGCACAAATACATACATATATGTATGTATATGTGCCTGTTGTAATTATTGTTGATTTTCTTGTTGTTGCAGTTGTTAATATTATTATTGCCATTGCCCAGCGGGACCCTTCGTACCACCTACACATGCACGTCACATTTTTAGCCTGCGGCATTTGAAACTTAATTATTGCGCATACGACACGTTCACACAGGCCTCCTCACACACACGCACTTGAACACAGACACACAGTTGGCTGTTGGTATTTTATTTTATTTATGAGCTGTTTCAGCTTSTGCGCAAATTTCCCAAGTGCCTGATTGCCGACCTCAGATGTCTGGCTGACTTTAAAGAATTGTTGGCTTTTAAATTTTATCAGCTGTACGAATGAATTTTTAATGCAAACGCTGCAAACGGGCTTTGCGGCCGATGCTGCTGCTGCGTCTTTTGGCCATTGTCCTGCTGTCCGCCATCGGATCCAGCTACCACACACAGGGGATGCATTTGCATTGCGCCGTAATTCAAATCGAGGCTGATGGGGCCAGTCGGACAGGTATCTCTGCCAAAGAGTTTCAAAATACAGCTGTGTGTTTATCTTGACACTCCCACACCTTCTGCACTCTCCCTCTCGCTCTCTCACTCTCTCTCTCTCGCTTTCTAATCTAAATTGCTGACAAGAGCAACAGCAGCCGCATTAGCGCCTGCCCCTGGCAAACCCTTTGTTAAAGCTCAGCCTGCATTACAGTCAAACTTCCCTCTCACTCTACCACTCTCTGTCTCTCTCTAAGCCCAAGCTCTTCTTGTTGCTCACATGTAGTTAGGCGCACCTTCATTATCAGCTGCTGGTCCTGTGCGACTAACGAGCCGCTCAATTTAATCAGCCTTTGTGCCGTACAGCCTCACAGCACGAGAGGTAGAGTCACTAGGAGAGGAAGAGCGAGAGATAGATGGCCGTTGAATGTCTACTAATCAATGCTACTCAGATTACAGCCCTGTCCAGTCAGTCCAGTCACTGTGAATTATTTTGGCCAACATATATGCATTGCGTTGATTAAAGGAAATAGATTCAACATGGTCACTGATTGTATATAATGATTAAATATGTGGATAGAATGTGAATTAAATTGAACAGAATAATACAGATTCGTTAAGAAACTTTAAAAGGAATTCTAACTCTCTTATCTCAGCATTTCAATGTCTTTATCTATGATGTTTAAGCATCTCTTTCTCTCACTTTTCTTCTTTCCTCTTGTCTGTTTATTCCCTTTTGACCAGTGGTATCTCTGTCCTTCGCTAATTCTCTTGTTTTACCACTATCCCCATCACTCTCTATCAACATTTTCCCTACTTCTTTCTCTTCCTTCCTGCCTATCTAAGTCTCCCTCTCTCTCTCTCTTCTACCACGTCCCCTTATTCTTCTCTCCTCATTCATCTCCCATCTTTCTTTTGTCTCTTTTTCTCTCCCATCTTTATGATTTGCCTTCTACCCCACTCTATCTTCTATCTGTCTTTTATCTGCTCTCAGCTATCTACTCTTTTTCTTTCTTCTCTCTTTCAATTCACCTCAAATTTTTCCTTTTCTAGCTGTTAGCACTGTTGGTTTCCTCTTGTGCTCTTTTCTCTTCTTACTTTTATTTAACATATTATCCTTTATCTCTGATTTATGACATGTAAAACAAATTAATATCAATTCGCATTATGTTTGCTTTCACAAATGAATAACTCAATATTATTTCATTCTTACTCTTGCATTTACCAGCTTAAGCCTTCTTATTCAACATATAAAATTCAAACGTTTTCCTCGATTTCTTGTCAATATGTTACACAGCTTTTGGTTTATTCCGCATATTACCTTCATTTTATGGACAATTTTTTATGCAGTGGCAATCGCATCGATGGCCACAAAGCGATTTGTGTCAGCTTAAGAGATGTTCAAGAGAATAGAGGAGAAGAGTGAAGAGAGGAGAGAGAGAGAGAGGGAGAGGGCAAGTGATGGGTGGAGATGAGAGGCGTGGCATTTATTTCAATGAAATTGAATTGGACATAAGGCCAGGCAAATGCTCAATGCGGCTGACCATAATCCAAAGAACTCCACTCCATGCCAAAGTAATTCCATATATTTGCGCATTAACGCCACATTGTGTGTGTCTGTGTGCGTGTGTGTGTGTGTGTGTGTGCCTTGGTGTACCCCCTCGCACAAACAATGGACCATTCATAAGCCTCAAGGTTAAACCGCTAAAAATCATTGAGCTACATCAAAAAGTGGCCATTGTTTCGGTCTAAGCCAAATGAAATGGAATAAAATGAACATATATAAAATGCCAAGACGCCAAGATTTATGCCAACGGCACCTTGATGGCTCCTACCTACCCCTGGGCGCCCCACCCCTCGCTCCCCGTCCACTCCTGCTTGACTAATGAACAGTCGAATAATCTTAAGAATTTGCCCCACAATGAATGAAGTCCAAGTTGAAGTTGAAGCTGAAGTTGAGTCTCAGCTGCGGTTTTGTTGTTTAGCTCTTATTTAGACATTCACTCGCCCACGTCGCTGCCTTGTTCGTTTACCAACACTGCTCGCTGCGACTGCGACTGAGACTGCGGCTTAGCTGTTGGCCCTCTGCCTGCCTGCTCATTAATTTCGCTTAACTTCACAAATTGCCAATTGTGCGCATTGGTCAACATTTTTTTTTTCTCTCTTCTTCTTCTTTTTCTTGTGCTTCACTCATTGTTATTGTTATTGTTGCCGTTGCTGTTGTTATTGTTGCTCTACTTAGAGCCCACTGCAGCATCCAGCATAGCGAGCCATTATTTTGTGCGGCTGTGTGGCTCGTATTTATTGCCTGGACTGCCAATTTGTTTTGTATGTGGGCATTGTTATAAATGACAGCTGGCTGGAGGAGGGTCCATAGACTGGGTGACGAGATATGCGCTATTTGGAAATGAAAACAAATTTATTTTATATTCATATTAATATTTGCTTATACGAATATTATTATTTTTATTAAAATTGTTTTTAAATATTTGTAATTTATTTATTTTTTGTCGATTTTTAATTTTTAATTTTAAAGAATCTAATAGAATTTTAAAAACAATTTTTATCTTATTTTTTATTTATTTCGATTTTTTTAAATTACTATTTTTATAATTTTTCATTTAATTTTTTTTTTATGATTATTTTATGTTATTTTATAGATTTTTTATATACATATATATTTGGATTTATTCTATTCCTATTATAGTTTACAGACCATGCTTTACTAATTTTTTTTTTTTTTTTTTCATAAATCTAATTATATACATTCGTTTCTTTTATATTATTTTAAAAATAATGTGTTTAAGCCTATAAAATTTACATTTTTTATTAAATTTTTATTACCTTACTATTTAATATTTTTCTTAATTGAATAAACCTAATATTATTATGCTGAAGTTTAATTTTTATCTTTTTATTATGCTAGTTTAATTTAATTTTATATTTTTCTTTAATTTTACTATAATTTATATTTATGCACTACTTACAATCCCTACATTTACTTATAATGGAAAGTGTATTTGATATTCGTTGCTACAGAGCAACGGTGTCCCTTACTTATGACCATTGTTGTTGGCAATTGTTGTAACTGTTGTGCCGACTGTGAAAACACATGAATTCTTAGTTTATGAAGTTCTGCAGCAATTGAGCAGCCCCGTCGCCCCACCAACCCGCCAGCCATCATCGGCCCCACTCTGTGGCAGTTGATGCTTGTGTGGCACGTTACCTGAATCTCTGCAGCAGCTCTTGCCTGCCTGCCTGGCTGCCAGCTTGCWGGCTTGACTGCTGTGGCCGACAATAAATATTGTGACAAATTGCCATCACACGGCACAAATGGCAATTTTATTTAGTGATGACTTTTATGGTCGCCCGCACACATGGCGTATGCGTAATGCGGGCATTTGCAGCTCAGCTCGGCTCCAATTCAATTAATTAGCTTTTGTGCAAGTTTTCGGGCGTATTGATCAAATTTTCATTTTCGCTTTTTCGTTCACAGAACGCGGACAACAACAATAATTACGCACATAATCGCATCGGCAGCCAAACTGCGCACAAGGAGAAATTGCTGGGAACGCCGGAAGCTGTGCTCAATGCTCGACGAGAGAGGGAGGAGGCCAAAGGTGCGCACTCACTGTCTGAAGCGAACGCCCACTTGATTCTTTGACTAAATTAACTTTGCAGTCTTTGCAGCCAAGGCGAATGCACACATCGAAGAGGTATTGAGGGAGCACTCTTGCCACTTGCCACAGAAGCGTTGCATGAGCGCCGGACGCGACCCATCGAAGATCTACTTCCCCCACTGCACCTTCGTACACCGTTGCTCCGAGGACAGCGGCTGCTGCCACAGTCGCACCGAGATCTGTGCCCCAAAGCGCACCCACAAAGTCGAAAAGTATTTCTTTGTAAGTATTACGAATCGAATTTGAATTCCAAATAAGCCTGCAACGGGTTGAATTGCTAAATTTGCCAACTTGCTGGCAGACACATTTCTGTAAATGAATAGCTCAAGTAAAAGGGCTAGCAGGTTAGTTGTCCATTTGTTTGTTTTCTTATTTATCGAAAGTTGAGGCAAAATTTACAACTGTTAAACTTTGCTAAGTGACAGGCTAAATGAGTAGCTATAGATTAGATTGATAGATCAAGTGGTAAGTGGGCCTAATTCTAAGCCAAATTATTTCTTACTAGTTAACCAGTTATATTAACTCTATAATCTATTTAAAATGATAAAAGTTCACACAACTAATAAATGCTGGGTCTTTTAAGTTAAAAAATAAAATAAAATAAAATAAATTTTAAAAAGTAATAATAATAAATGCAGCATGAGCTAATAAAAGCAAGAGATAAATAAATTCCAATATTTTATAAAAACAATTTGATTTATTTTATGATTTATGCCTCCCATTTGGAATGATTAAATCAGTCCATTTTATTAACCATTTATTTACCATAAAAATCGGCAAATTCATTTGCCTTTTTAAGCCTAATTTTAGTATACAAAAGCCAGAGGCTTTTACTGTGTATCGGGGATAAGTGTATAAGCACAGGGCTGTATATGCAAATCTCTAATAATTGTGATTTGAAATGTTCCTCTTGCATTTCCACAAATTTGTTATACATTAATTTCAAATGAATTTAATGAAAATGTTCCTCATATAATGATGATTTCATAATCATAATAATATGGCTTATAATACAATATCATAGTATAAAATACTTTATATAAAATTTATGTATGCTTAAGTAGTTTCTCAAGAATTTTTAAAGTGTTGTCAAAGCTACCAAAATCAAGCGACTTAAAATAAAACAGCATAGTAATGTTGGCTCAGAGAAACAGACTTTAATACATAGTTTCAGCTTTATTTAAATAGTAAGCCATACTTAAATGTGCAGTACATGTGGGCGTTGCCCCACCCCAAAAAAAAAAAAACGTCCATTTAAATGAGAAAAACTAAATTTATGACCTGTCAAAATTGAATTGAAGTACAGACACTTCACTTTGCATTATCTGCCTATGCATGGCATATCCGCTCGCTTTGCTCTGTCATAATTGTTAAAATGTTAATTAAAAATAATAAGCATATCAGAGAGAGCAGCGCTCTGAGTCTGGCACATGAAATCACCTTCAATGAAAAAGAAGTCGGAAATCCAGCAAACAATGCATAATTTTATTCTCGATTTCAACATATTGAATGCTCGTTACAGAGGGGGGGAGAATAAAAGTTTATGTGGCATAAATCAGCAACAAATTGAATTATCATTGCGTCATTAAAAACTCATTTCGAGTCACACACACAGAACACAATACACCAAACAAAAAATTGATGTAAAAAGGTGAAACGATATAATTATGTTGCAATATGGCGCCCTGAGGCATGACCTACGACCCCGCCCCACACAGCGCAACGATAACAAACGCGACTGCGACAACAATCAGAGCAATTACAACAACAACAGCGAGAGTGCGAGAGAGTGAGGCTGAGGTAGAGCTAGAGGGAGAAAGAGAGAGAGAGAGCTATATGTAACTATGAGGAAAATAAAAGCTAAAGCAAACACACACACGACTCTTGACAAATGGTGAAAACTTTTGGGTGGATACATATATATAAAAGGCCATAAGCGAGGGCAGTCTAAACAGAACGCTAGCCTAAAAAAAATAATAAAAGTTTATAGTTAGACAATATCGAAACTAAGGAGATTAAAATTTATAAAAATATATAACAAATTTTAAAAATTAAATATCTCCTATAAACTCACCAATTTTTAAAACCACCCTCGCACATCTATATTCGAGCGCATTGTTGTTGCAGCTGCTGCTATTGTAGCCGTGCGCAACGATAGGAAATAACCTGCTGAACAATGCTAATTATAATGATAATAAAAAGGGCGCGCGTTCTAAACCAAACGGCGAATGGAAAACCAATTTAATGAAAATTCATTCATGAGCAGCAGATGCAATTTATGCAACTATTTACGCCCACGCCTCAATTAATGGCAGCTGCTCATGGTTAGCCAACATTGTGGTTAGCCACAAAAGGGCTGCAAATTACGAGTAAAAAGTGAGAGCTACTTGGCCTGAAACGATGTGAGAACGCACTGAAATTAATATGAAATGTGTAAAGTTTAAATATTTAAATTTTCAATTAGGTTGAATTAATTTAATTGAATAATAATATTTTATCAACAATATAAA